CCTAGGTTGTCTTTTCATTTTGCTTATGGTTTCCTTTGCTGTGCAAAAGCTTTTAAGTTTAATTAGGTTCCATTTGTTTATTTTTGTGTTCATTTCCATTACTCTGGGAGATGGATTGAAAAAAATATTGCTGCAATTTATGTCAAAGAGTGTTCTGCCTATATTTTACTCTAGTAGTTTTAGAGTATCCAGTCTTACATTTAGGTCTTTAATCTATTTTAAGTGTTTTTTGTATATGGTGTTAAAGAGTTTTCCAATTTCGTTCTTTTACATGTAGCTGTCCAGTTTTCCCAGCACCACTTTTCTCCACTGTATATTCTTGCCTCTTCCTATGGCTACAGATTAATTAACCATAAGTGTATGGGTATATTTCTGGCTCTCTGTCCTGTTCCATTGATCTATGTGTCTAGATCAATACTAGACCAATACTAGATCATACTAGACCAGTACTATACTGTTTTGATTGCTATAGCTTTGTAATATAGTCTGAAGTCAGGGACTGTGATTCCTCCAGTGCTGTTCTTTCTCAAGATTGTTTTAGTTATTCAGGGTCTTTTGTGTTTCCATATAAACTTAAATGTTTTTTGTTCTAATTCTGTGAAAAATTTCATTGGTACTTTGATAAGGATTGCATTGAATCTGTATATTGCCTTGGGTAGTATGATCATTTTAACAATATTGATTCTTCCAGTCCAAGAACATTGGTATATCTTTCCATCTGTTGTTGACTTCAATTTCTTTCATCAGCATCTTACAGTTTTTGGAGTACAGGTCTTTTGCCTCCTTAGGTAGGTTTATTCCTAGGTATTTTATTCTTTCTGATGTGAGATAAATGGGATTGTTTCTTTAATTTCTTTTTCTGAAAGTTTGTTATTAGTGTATAGAAATACAACAAATTTCTTTGTCATCTGTTTTTTAATTGAGCATGATGCATGTGTGTCGTGGATTTGTGCTCATTTGTATAACTTTGTCAGTAAATGTGCTATGTCTTTAAATTTTTTTTTAAATGCAGGACCATAATTTTCAATTAAACTACACTTACAAGAAGTTTAAGTGAGCACACAAACATGTGGATGAGTAAATCACAAGGACTGTTCATAGACATTTCAGTTCTTTCTAGATATTAGTGGAATTTCTCTTCCCAGCACACTTTGGAGTTGGTTGTGGCCATAAGCCTTGCTTTGCCTAGTGAAATATGAGCAGCAGTAATACATATCACCTCTGGGCAGATGTTTTAAGAGCAACTTCCCCTGCACAGTTCTCTATGTTTCCTTCCCTCTGCCGCAGTGATCAAAGAAGCACACTATTGAGATGGAGTCTCCATCACCCTGGGTTCCTGGGTGATGATGGACAGAACCCGGTCCTAACCTGCACAGAACAAGTGTAAAATTATAAATATGTCAGCAGAAAGAGGAGAGTAGGACAGGCTTGCTGAAAGAATCTGAGATGTGTGAGAGCAAGATGAGAGAGAACAGCTGATCCCTAGAATTTGGTTCCAGGTGCTTTCCAGGTCCCATGGTTTCTACCGCAAAACCTTACATTATCCTGTAGAGTTTGCATAGGACTCCTGATACTTCAACAACAACAATAAAAAGTTAAAAAAAACAACAACATTTATTTCCGCTTAATAAGGTGTCTCCAAAATGCAAATGACACTTTTTATTATGTAACTATTAATATGATTTCCAATCTTTTTCCTTTTAAAAATCAAATTGATTGATTCACAAACCCCAACTCTTTTTTCGACTTCCTTTAATAAAATATCTAATCGTTCCACTCTGTATCCTAGTAACCATACTCCCTCTGCCCATACAAAGATGGTTCAAATTTTTATCTTATGTTAATTATTAAGCTGCTGAAAGGACTTTACTGACTACCAAAGAAATACACCTATCTTTACTTTTGAATTCATATCTAATGTGTGTGTATATGTATGTATTTTTTTCCTGAAATCCTTTGATATCCCCGATTTTGCACTTTTATTTTGAACTTTCGGCCAATGGATAGGGCTTTTAGTTTTATTTCAGCAGTTGTTCCACTTTGTATAATATAACAATTAAACATAGTTTAAGACTATTGTCAAATCAAACATTTAGAAACAATAATAGGCACAGAGTTCTGCCTCTTGAGGGCTGTTGTGACCTAATCCTAACATGACTTTTTGTCCAGGTAGTTCACTATGGTCCACTTTCTGTCCTATTGACCCATAGTTGTTGCCAGAATATAAACCTGATCTAACTCAGCTGCTTACAAAGCTTCCATGGCTCCCAGCCACCTGCAGGCAAAGTCAAAATCCCTTAGAACAGAAAAAAAATGTTTCGGCATCTGGCCCTCCTAGCTTTTTACCTTACTTGCACCCCTCTTAAAATGAGTAGCCACACAGAGGTGCCTGTCAGTCTCCACAAATTATTTCCCATGTCAGTGCTTTTGCACTTGTCTGGTTACCCCATTTAGAATATCCTGCCTTTCTCTTCCTTCTTCCTCACTCCAATTCTTAGTAGCCTTCAAAGGCTAACTCAAAGTTCACTTCCTCAGTAACAACTCCAAGTTCAGACTACCTGGCAGTCAGTCACCTCCTCCTCTGGGGACTAGAGGTCACCTCTTCCTCTGGAGACTAGACAGTCATAGTAAAGTAGGGGAGAGAAACATGGAAACAAATAATCAAACACATGGTCAAAAAGACCTTGAACTCCTTAAGGACAAAGACCTCATCACTTTTTCACCTCTGTGTCTCCTGTATCTACCAGTCACATGATAAATAAATGTTGACTTTAACTGAATCATATGGAATGATTTTAATAACTGCATTTCACTTTTAAGAATATCAACTATGTAGATTTTCTCAAGTTAAAGGTTCATAATATGACCTTAAAAAACAAATTACAGATGGTTGCTAAAGTTTTACAAATGTTTATATCATAATTTTTAATAAATTTCAGTTAAATTCATATATTATTATTTTTAAATTATGTAGTGTTTTTTTTTACTTTAAGGGAGGTCTATATAACTCATAGAACCTATGTAAATGTCTCAGGGTAATTTGAAAGTGTACAAAGCATAGAAATAATATTGGAATGGATGGTTGAGATACAAATGTTAAAGTATAGGAATGTGCCAAAAAGAAACTCTTGCCTGAAAAGAACACATGTTCTTTGCCAAGAGCAAAACCCTGACATATTTAATGAGGCATTGCAAAATCTGCTCACTCACCCACCCCGCCCATGGAAGACAAAGTTCAGAATGAACCTTGTTTAGAAACTTTGGAACTATGTGTTTAAAGAATGAGAGTGCGATATGCTCTAGCTAGGTAAGTCTCAAACACGGTCACACTTCCATTTCCCAAAGGAAGCTCCCATTTCTTCTGGCTCCTCTGTCTCTCATTTAACTTGTTAACTCTCTTTCACAAGATTTCTCAATTTTAACCTTAGAGCCGTAATATTTGAAATTTATAAACATGAAAACAGATATTTAAATGTTCATAATGAAGGTAATCACCTTCCTGATAAACCTGCTTATCCTAAATACTCTGTTACGATTCAGCCATCTTTGCAAACATCCACCTCAAAAAAGTTGAAGTCATAACAATAACAGCTAACATTTATTGAGTGCTCTGAATGTCGCAGGTGCGATGCTTTTTTATCTCCTTTAATTCTCACAAGAGTTTCTGGGAAGAAAATGACTTGAACACATGTTCCTGACCTCCCGTGTCCTCCTTTCCTCCCCTGATTCCTTACTGGAGCAACTTAGCAGCTAAGAGCAGCAGGCTCTTGTTGGTAGTGTGTGTTTCTGAGGACATCCATAGGAAAGGGTAGATACCAGACATATGAGGTCTGAAACTAGGGAAAGCCAACTCTCATCAGGAAAAACAGGGCTGCACAAGTAGACAGAATCATCCTCTTTCCAACTGACTGAGAAAAGTGTTTCTCTCCCTTGTACTTGGAGAGTCAGAGAGCAAAGTTTAGAATACTAGAATAGTGGTTCTCAAAAAGTTGCCCCTGGACTTGTAGCAATATCAACTAGGAACATTGCAGCACCTGTTAGAAATGCAAATTCTTAGGCCTCACTACAGGCCTATAAATCAGAAACTCTGGGAGTCAGGCCCAGAAAGCTGTGTTTTAATAAGACCTCCAGGAGATTGTGATACATGTTCAAGTTTGAGACCCATGAGACTGTAAGAGCAGATGGCTTAATATCCTCCACCTGCTGGAAACCCTGGTCAGGGAACTCCTGTCTGTTCGTAGAGCACAGGAAATTGCAATGCATTTAATAAACTCAGTAATTTGAGGGAGATTTACTCAGCTAATCAACCAGAAGTGGTGACTCCTATAGGAATAAATAATCAGATGGAAGATAACTTTAATGTTCATTGCAGTCCTGTTAGCTCCCCAAATAGAAATTGAGGCTTAGAGAGGTTAAATAACCTTCAAGGTCACACCACTAACAAGTACCAGAACCAGAACACAGGTCCCCTCATTACCTTCCATATGTAAATTCTAACTATATCTATCTCAGCTGTGTCTGTAGGATCCATATTTTTAAACTTTGTTTTAAATTGTGATATAATGTACATACACTACATACAGAAAAGTATACCAGCAGCCCCTGTACGGCTGTCTCTCTTCCCCCTGGAGGGAACCACTACCTTGACCCTTGTGATAATTTTTTCTTTATTAAACCATGTCTGTAAGCATTCTCAAACAATGTAGTTTGGTTTTTACCTGTTTTGAACTTCATACAAAAAGAATCATACTGTTTATATCCTTCTGTGTCCTGCTTCTTTTGCTCAACATCATGTTTGTGACATTCATCCATGTTTTCATATGTAGCCATAGTTTATTTTCATTGCTACATGATGTTTCATTGAGTGAATAATATTTTGTTTACCCTAGAATCTATCATTTCTTCATTCCCACTGTCACTCTCCTACTTCAGGCATTCATTAAATGATTTTTCATTACTTAAGTTATCCCAGTGGTCCCTAACTGTCTCCTCATTACCAGGATCTCCCCAGCTGCTGCCAGAGGATTCTTCTGAAAGTCAACATGGATCATGTTCTTCCTGTTAAAAGAAGTTGCAGGAGGAGAGGAAGAAGGAAGACTGTGAGGTAGGAAGCAACACATTTTTATCCAGGGCCTTGGGGACCATTTTAAGGATTTGGGTTTTTATTCTACCCAATGAATGAAAAGCCCCATCAGCTGATAGTTTTGACTTTCTAAGCTCAGAGACTCTTACGTCAGAGTCCCTAGAGCATAGGATTAGACCCCTTTGAAAACTACACCTGCCAAGAGTCCAACCAAGTTGGCTAGACCCTCCTTAAGCACTGCCCACAGCCCCTTGGGATCGCTTCAACTGCTGGCTAAGTTCACTCGGCCCTGGTCCTATCCATTACCAGTTCTTCCATTTCTCTGTAACCGACTGTTAAGTTCTGTAGGGGAGGCAAACTTTTAACTTTACCCTCCTAGGGTTCTTTTTGGCTGGCTGAGAATTAAACTGACATAAGATAGATCAATAGGAGAAAAGGTACCAATTTATTTAATACAAGTTGTACATGACATGGGAGCCTTCATAAAGAATGAAGACCCCAAAAAATGGCAAAACTTACTTGTTTTTATATTAGGTTGAACAAAAAGAGGCAAATATGGAAAAGTGACTACATGGGGAGGCTAACAGAAGATAAGAATTATTTTTAACAAGGACTGTTTGTATAGAAGTCTCTTGATCTTAACTTCTAGGTCTTGATGATAAGAATGTTACATTCCTTCTGGTAGAGGGAGGACATTTTTCTAATAGGAATTTCATCTCCTGTTTTTAAGAAAAAGAAGGAAAATCAGGGTATTTTCTTCTGATGTTTTCAAGTGCCTTTAATTCAAAATAGTTAATATGCCACAAAAGCACATTTTGGGGTGGCATGCTCTGAACTCACTTCTTAGCATACCTCACAGGTGAGGCCATAAAAATTAATGTATATATGGATAAAATATCCACATATACCCTGATTTTGGACAATGCAATAGTGAACTATAATTTGTGCTGAAAAATGGCAAATGAAAGAAAAGTGAACTAAGAATCATAAGATTTAACTCAAAGTCTTACCAGAGTGCCTAGCCTAAAGACATTTCAGGTCTTCATAACGAACATCGCTAATTCATACCATTGAGTATAATGAGAATTACAGAATGTTAGACAAGAAGGGGTCTCCATAGCTTTGGACATACTTCTAGACTGTAATTTTAGTGTAGGTGCTGGCAGACTTTTTCTGTAAAGGACTCAACACTATGTTCAGCTTTACAGGCTCTATGGTCTTTGTCACAACTGCTTAGCTATGACATGCAGGGTGAAAGCAGCCATCGGTGATATGTAAATGGCCGTGTTCCAATAAAATTGTATTGGCAGCAGGTCAGGTTTGGCCCAGAGGCTGTAGTTTGCCATCTCCTGGTTTAGTGCTCGTTGTTTGTTTGTTGTTTTGGTTTTTATCTCAGTATTTTAAAGTTAAGATCTAATTCATATTGAATACAATGAAGCAGCTCTTAAGTGTACTTTCTGATGAATTTTTGGCAAATGTATTCATTCACATATGTAATCACATCATAATCAAGATCTTGACATTTTTATTCCCCCAGAAAGTGCCTTCATGTCCCTTTCCAATCAATCCCCCCTGACCCCTGAGTGTAGTCACTCTTCTAATTTCTATTCTTATAGATTAATTTTGCCTGTTCTTGAACTTCATATAAGTAAAATTATACAGTGTCCATATGTCTGACTATATGACTTCTTTTATTCAACTAGTTTGTGAGACTCATCATGTTCTTTATACTTTTTTATGGCTGAGTAGTATTCATTGTATGACTATACCACAGTATGTCTTAAGAAATTACCACAATAAAAGCTATTTTTGGCAAACCTATGGCCAACCTAATACTCAATGGTGAAAAGGTGAAAGCATTCCCGCTAAAATTTGGAACAAGACAAGGATGCATATTCTCACCACTTCTATTCAACATAGTATTGGAAGTCCTAGCTGCAGCAATGAGACAAGAAAAAGTAATAAAAGGTATCCAAATCGGAAGGGAAGAGGTAAAATTTGTCATTATATGCAGATAACATGATACTATATATAGAAAACCCTAAAGATCCCACCAAAGCTATTAGAAATGATAAATTTAGCAATGTAGCAGGATACAAGATTAACATACAGAAATCTGTTGCATTTCTTTACACAAATAATGAAATATCAGAAAAGGAAAGTAGAAAAAAATCCCTTTTAAAACTACATTCAAAAGAATAAAATACTTAGGAATAAACCTGATGAAAGAGGTGAAAGACTTATATATATCCTGAAAATTATAAAACATTGATAGAGGAAACTGAAGGTGCTTTAAAGAAATGGGAAGATATCCCATGCTCTGGGATGAAATGGGAGAAAATATTTGCAAGCAATGCAGTCAACAAGGGATTAATTTCCAAAATATACAAACAGCTCACAGAACTCAATATTCAAAAAAAAAAAAAAGCCAAACAACCCAACCAAAAAATGGGCAGAAGACCTAAATAGACATTGATCCAAAGAAGACATACAGATGGCCAATAGGCAGATGAAAAGATGCTCAACATTGGTAATTATCAGAGAAATGCAAATCAAAACTACAATGAAGTATCACCTCACATTGATCAGAATTAAAAAGTCTACAAATAATAAATACTGGAGAGGGTGTGGAGAAAACAGAACCCTCCTACACTGCTGGTGGAAATGTAAATTGATGTGGCCACTATAGAGAACAGTATGAATGTTCTTTAAACAACTAAAAATAGAGTTGCCATATGATCTAGCAATCCCACTCCTGGCAAAAGATACATGCACCCCAGTGTTAATAGCAGCACTACTTACAGTAGCCAAGACGTGGAAGCTTCTAAATGTCTATCAACATATGAATGGATAAAGAAGATTTGATATATATGTGTGTGTGCATACATACACAATGGAATACTACTCAGTCATAAAAAAGAATAAAATAATGCTATTTGCAGCAATACAGGTGGACTTAGAGATTATCATCCTAAGTGAAGTAAGTCAGACAGAGAAAGATGACAATTATCATCTGATATTATTTATATGTGAAACTTAAAGTATGATACAAGTGAACTTATTTACAAAACAGAAACAGACTCACAGACATAGAAAACAAACTTATAGTTACCAAAGGGAATAGAGCGGGCAGGGATAAATTAGGAGTTTGGGCTTAGCGGATACAAACTACTATGTATAAAATAGATAAACAACAAGATCCTACTGTATAGCACAGGGAACTCTATTCAGTATATTGTAATAATCTATAATGGAATAGAATATGAAAAAGAATTTATATATGTGTAACTGAATCACTTTGCTACACACCAGAAACTAGTACAACATTGTAAATCAACTATACTTCAATTTAAAAAAATAGATGCATGTCTAATAATAAATGAAATGTAAATAGGCCACATTAAAAAAGATAACTAACAAATTATGAAAAGTGTTCAATATCACTAGTAATCCAATAAATATAAGTTAATGCAAAAAAGAAAAAAAAGAAATTACCACAAACTCCAAGGCTTAAAACAAGAGAAATTTACTCTCTGACAGCTCTGGAAGCCATAAGCCTGAAGTCAAGGTGTTGGCAGGGCTGTGCTCCCTCACTCTGAAGACACTGAAGGATAATCCTTCCTTGCTTCTTCCAGCTTCTGGTGGCCCCAGGTGTTCCATGGCTTGTGGCAGCCCAACTCCACAATCTCTGACCCTATCTTCACATGGCTTTTTCCTCCATGTTTCTGTATCTTTCTTCTCTTCTGTTTCTTAAATGGGCAGTGTCATTGGATTTAGTGCCCACCCTAATTGAGGATGATCTCATCTCAAGATCCTTAATTATATCTGCAAAGATCTTTTCTCCAAATAAGGTCACATTTGCAGGTTCCAGGTGGACGTATCTTTTTGGGAGCCACTACTCAACACACTACAATATCATAGTTTATCCAGTTACCTTATAATAGACATTTGAATTAATTTCTTTCTTTTCTTCTTTTTTCTTTCTTTCTTTCTTTTCTTTTCTTTCTTTTTTGGTTACTATGAATAAAGCTGCTGTGAATATTCTTGTACAAGACTTTTTTGGAATATGTTTTCAGATTCCCAGTTTTTGAATTCCAGTTCTAATTATCTTAATATAAGATTTGATTAACTTTTCTTTCTAGTGATAATTACCCGTAATAACATTTTAAATTCTGGCAGTAATATCTGTAAGAATTGATCAACCTCCATACATCTGTTCTAAATATGTCATATAACTGAAAGCATAATACTGCCAAGAGACAAGATATGGAATTCTAATAAGTATCTTCATTTTCGTTTCTCAAGATACTATCAAGAAACAAGTTTCAAATCAGTCTCAAAACATTGATTTTAACTCCTTAAAATAGCAGCAATACTTTATTAAAGTAGAAAACAAAAACAGAAACATAGCTTGACTCTATTCTGTCACTTTTGTTTTGTTATGATACTTTCCTTAGTGCTTGCAGCCATCACCTAGGCTAAATTTGATACATTTATCTCATTATGGGTGTGACTAACATGGAACACTCCACTGGAATGAATTTAAATGCAGCTGCTTAACAAACTAAGCCATCCATATGGGCTGTTCTACCCTTAGATTCTGATAGGTCCAACCTTATCAGAACTACTGGGACGTCATTCAGAGATTTTCTGCCTGTGTGGCTGGCTGCTTCTCTACAATGAAAGCTTCTGGGACGGGAGGAAGTCTGTGTCATTCGTCTGTGTATCCTCCAACTCCAGGCCCAGCTCAATGCTTTCTTAACCTTCTAAGTGTTTCCTGACTAATAGTGCCTGTGAATAAGAAATAAGAAGGAAGTTGCTGATAACTCTACTCTTCATAGCAGAGCAATTCCAGTTAATGAAATTTCTTAGAAATTGTTTTAATAAGCGATTGCTTTTTTTTAATCTATTGGAAAGTCTTCAAGAGTATTATTTATTACACTGGTAGTTTCTTATTGAATATTTGCTTCATTTATTCAGCAATTCTAGGAACTGGTGATTGGCTACATTATTCATTTGTA